CACACACACCTCTGAAGTCTCAGTGCTGACCTGCTCAGATTTTTCCCTGCAGTGTAATCAGGGACAGCAGAAAGAGATATCCAAGGTTTTGATTTACTTTTAACCTCCGACTCTTCCATCTCCCCTTAACTCTGACAACCTTTCCATGATGTAATAGGTAAAGAGGAAAAGCAGGCTTCATCTTCATGGTCAGCTGTTGAGGACTGAAGCCTCTCTCTTGATGGTGTCTGTGACTCTTGTCTCTATAGATGTCGGACATTCTCAGGATGGAAGCCCTGTGTGCCCCTCTTGGTCTGGGTTAGGGGGTCTCTGTGAGCTCAGAATCCACATCCCAAGGAAGAAGCCATGTGACCTGTAGGACAAATGTGATTGCTGACGGAGGCGTGGTTTCCAGTGTTTCTGCCTCCATCAGGGTCTAGGGGATGGCCAACCACTCTGTTGTTACTGAGGTGCACCTCAGGGCATCCCCTTGGGTCATCCTGGTGACACAGGGAACCAGGCTTTCACTTGGAGAAGACAGCAAATGGTTTGTGGCAATCTCAGAGAAGCTGCTGCCTGCACAGGCCAACAAGACCCATACATAGCCTCTGGGCCAGTGGGAAAGAATGACACTCCAGGCCACAGGGGTTCACTGTGTGCCTGGCCAGGATGTGAGACATCTTCCACTGTCATCAGTTCCTAAATCTATCTCAGCTGTGGTGCTCACACTGGAGACTATCTCAGGAGCACTTGCTAAGCGACAGGTTCAGGCTCAGTTGTTCATGTGAGTTTCCAGCCGCCATATGGTCTCCAAGCTCTTCTGGGAAGCAAGTGTTCAGTCTTTGCTGCTCTGTCGTTTGAAGCAAGCCAGGCCTGGGCAGTTCAGCTCAGGGTTCTGAGGAGGCTAAAACAGGAGGTGTGTGCCAAACAGACAACTCTGTCAGCAAGCTCCTCCCAACCCACTACCCCCCTCACACACAGTTTACGTTTACCAGACCCTGCAACTCCTCCATGGCTGTGTGGCCTATCCCTCAGTGGTGGTGGTGGGGGGGTGGAGTCAAGGATACCCCATAACCTCTACTCTGGGTACAAAACATCAGGATGAAGGAAGATGAGCCAGACAGCTGAGACCACACACAGCGCCACCTAAGAATCCAGGGGACTTTGCGGAGGGAGGGAACATGCTGGTCAGAGCTTTGTGGGCCCAGGATGGGACATGTCTGAGGAACACCTGGGTTTGGAGGCTGTCACATACTAAGAGAAGTTTTAGGATTCGAATCCCCAAGGGTACCCTGGAGATTGGGACCAGTGAACAACAGAAAGCTTGCACCAAGGGAAGGAGAGTCTCATGTCTGTCAGGTCAAAGGTCCTGAGGAAGGTAGACAAAGCTAGGAAGTAGTCAGGGTAGCTTGGAGACACTCTAGGGTAGAAACAGCTCTTTGGGTTTTTTTTATTGGTCCTCCCCCATCCCCCACCCCCACCCTGAATTCTTGGAGGTGTGTAGAGTTGTGTGCACACACAGTGAGAGTTTGCTTGACAAAGATTGTGGAAATAAGTCAGATGACAGACTGGCAAGGAGGTCCTCTGGTTCCCTGGAAGGGTTGGATCTGGCTAAGAAAGGCAGGAAAGTGTGGCTATTGTGGGTGGGCCAGGACCTGATGGCAGGGCAGAATATGAACTAGCATGGGGGCATATGTCACCTTGAACCTGACCTTCTACATCAGGAGAGCTGTAAACAAAACGACTCCTACGTTGACAGACAAGATGTGACTGATGACCCATTCATCTCTGAAATCACTCCTACTTCTAGGAGCAAAATTTCGGCCACTGAAGCGTGCTGCGAGGTGCCAGCCTCATCATTACCAGAGGGTCCTTGTTACTTTGTTCTCTTCCTCCTCTCCACAGCCTGATTTTTCAGGCTCCCGGTGTCCTGCTGCTTTGGCAGTAGTGGGGAAATGAGATTGTCTGTCACTCAGGAAACCAAGACTCCCTTGAAGGAGTGATCTGTAGTGCAGCAGACTTCAGTCCTGGGATTTTATTTAAGAGGATATCAGAGTGGTCCCTGGGTCACTCCCAAATAGAGACATCAGGGCCAAGTGACCACCCAGACAAAGGTACCCCGGCAGAGTCAGTGGTTGCAGCCTCTTGGTGACATTGCCATCTCAAGCTACTGGGATGATCTGCTTTTTCTCTCTTGCTTTGCTGTCCTTGGGAGAAGGAAACAGAAGACAAACGTGGAGGTGGGGTAGTGATGAGGCAGAGAAGACAGCGGGGAGAGATTTTTGTTGTTGTTCCAGAGGTACATCCTACCCAAAGAACCCCCACACCAAAAAAACCACACATAGTTAACTGGATTTTAGTAGGTTCAAGTAGTTGTTTATTTTTAGACTGTTTCCAGCATTGTTTGGTCCTGGGGTCCAGTCCCCAAATTCCAGAAAAATAAACTAATGAGAACCACATGCACTATGAGGAGGCCATTCCGACGTGTCTGTGATCATGCGGTGAATGGTCAAAGGCTATAGGACAGGGACCCGTGGTGTGGGCAGGGCTCCCTAACCCCATGCAGCTGATGGCAGCTGGCTCTGCCCCCATCTCTGAGGCTTGGGGAAGGCTGAGCCCCTGCTATTTGGATCCTGCCACCTCAGGGTCCAAGGCCCCTTATTGCTACATTTGCTACTTTGCTACTTGATGGCCCCTGGATCTTGCCCAGGGGGAGGCCTTATCACTGGGTGGCACTAATGAGTAGGTTGCTGGCATCTGCTGTTGCCATAGTTACATGAGCACAGGCCTCTTTCAGAGGGTCTGGTGATGAGTTACTAGCAATTTATTTGACCACTATTCAACTATCCCGTGGTCTTTGCCACATATTCATGTCAGCTAGGTCCTTTTAGAGGCTGGTGACACATTATCTCTCCCCAGCCCTGGGCTTCCCAGTTCCTGGAACTTGCTGGAACATTTTCCTCCAGGAAATTCTCCAGGGCCCAAAGATGAACAGCCGTCAAGCTCTCTATCCTTCCCCCATTCTGAGAAGGCTTCTTGGTGCTGTCTTCTGAAGCCCACACATGCAGAACAGAACAGGAGGGCACATTTCAGAAAAAAAAAAAAAAAAACCAACTTCCACAACAAGCAAGGGTCCAGGCTCCTGGTTCTGTGTCCTGTTGGTGAGGTAGTTTGAACATCCCAGGAATCCCGCTGGGCACGTCCCATATAGTTGGCTAGTCCAAGCAGCAACTGAGCATTGTAAGAGGCCCTTCCTGCGTATTGGCCTGATACCTAGCTACTGAGCAATAGGCAAGCCTGGAGTAGACTTTAACTACCTGCATCGGCAGTTGGGCCTCCCTTTATTTCTGGGGCACAGCAACAGCTTGCCAGGGAAGTGAAACTGGCAAGCCCCTTTCTAAAATGGCAGGCCGTTTCTCTTGGCTACCTAGGTCAGTCCGGTCTCTGGGAGCTGCCGAGTATTTAGTTGTACAATCTCCCAGCTGCACCCTTCCCAGGCAGGGGAAGCTTATTTCAGCTTCTGTTTCCCTGACTGGGCCATGGGTGTCTCATGTGGTAAGACTGGGGAACTGCCAAAATGATGTTTGCTCCACAAGCCATCATGGGGTAGATTCTCATCTCAGAGACCACACTGAGCTAGGAGAGCCCAGCTAGGAGGCAGAACAGGGCAGAGGAATCTGCTTTGTTGAAGAACGATTATCAAACATCTCGATTTTTGTCTGTGTGCATCAGGCCAAAAGGGAAGCTGTCTGAGATCCAACTTTTCTAATCTTTGCATTATAACCTTGAGTGACAAGATTGCTTGTCACTTGTGACTTGGACTGGTCAACTTGGACGGAGCAACTTTGTTCTACTTTCTTTTCTCCGCTCCTTGCCTGATCTACTGAGACACATGTCCCAGTGGACCCCTACCTGAGCTCACCCCAGTTGTGAGGTTGGGGGTGAGAGTAGATTGCTCCAGGCTTGCATGCATCTAAAGTGCCTATCCTTGGTTCTACTGAGCCTGCTGACCCTCCCCTCCTCTGTACCCTAGGGGACATGTTTAGAAGCATGCCTTCTGTTCCCATCTCAGGACTACTGTTTACCTGGCTCTGGGTGAGGACCTCCAGAGTGAGGCCAGTTCTCAGGTCGGGGTGGTGCAGAAACAGCAGACAAGAACTGGGGCAGAAAAGGACACAGAAGCCACAGCCAAGAAGTCTGCCCTATCTAGGCTGCAGCCTGGCTTAGAATGTGTTCAGCAGAATGTGTCTATGGAAGGTACAGGCAGCATCTAGAATCCTTGTTCTGGGTGACTGAGGGCACAGATGCTCCCATTGTTTGAGAGTATTAGCTGTCTTGGTGTCAGCACAGCCTAGGGTCCTTTGATGGGGGAATTTCCTTTGAGCAATGCTGGATGAAGATGAACTTGGGCTATAATTTTGTTCAGAAACTAGAGGGTTCTATGTAGAGGAATATTTTTTTTTTTAATGGAGCTAGAGAGGAAGAGCTGGAAGACCCCATAACTTGGGTTGTGGCTTCATTTTTTTCACTCACTACTCATGTGGGTTACCTAGTATTTGCAAAGAGCCAGGCTCAGTGGGAGAGTCTGGCCATTTGCAGTCACCTTCTGAAATGCCCTCTAAATCCCACCATATCTCAAGAAGAGAAGAACTGAATGGGAAAACAGAGGTGTTGGCCGAGGATCTTTTAAGGAGGATTCTAAATGCTGTGGAGGATCCCCTGTGATGGACCCCCAAGGCTGGTGGACCTGGGGTTGTGTAGAAGCAAGTATGGACAGGATTTGTAGGTGGGAGCTGGGCAGAGGAGTCACATGATACACCCAGAAGGCTGAGACCAAACAAATACTTAGGCCTTTGGTTACCAGCTGGTGAATTCGCTCACATAAGCAGTGCTTGCCTGCCTGCCTCCTTTCCTCCTTCCCTCCTTCCCTCCCTCCTTCCTTCCTTCCTTCCTTCCTTCCTTCCTTCCTTCCTTCCTTCCT